AAAAAAAAAAAAAGAGCAGGGAGTGTTGACAGAAGTAATATTTAAGTATTGTACAGAAGCATTCGAAAGATTGGTGCACTGATTGAAATAATGTTCTTAGCAGTATTTTCTTCATTCCAACACAGCTGTGTTTGACTTGGATGAGACTGTAACAAGCACAATGTTCTGTGTTCTAGATACATGAGCTCTATGTGAAGACAAAATGCACAGCCAGGAGACTTGCCACATGCCATCAGACCTGAGATCCCCCCAGCCCAGGACCAGTGTATGTTAGTGGTAAGTAGCAAGGGAAGGAGATGAGAAACAGAACATCCTTCCCCACAAATGCCTTTCCAGCAACCAGGAGCTTAAGAGCTTACACAGCTGAAAGTTATAGCCAGACTGCTCTGTACAGAAGACATTACTGGAACCTATATTTCAATGGGTGGTTCACATCCCTTAAAAGAAAAAAAAAAAAAAAGTCTGTGCTTAGTTGAGTTGCACGAAATGTAGCTACACTCTGTATCTATAGTTTGGTTGTATTTAATGTTATGAGTAATTTAATAATACTATGTATTCAGAAATACCATCAGCTGATTATCTTAGCATTACCACCTGCCAATTTCTCTGGGTATGTCTTAGCTGTTACAGCTACTCCCTCTACTCCCTCTTTTCCTCACAGATCCTGTCTGTGATTTTTAGGACTCTCCAGTATCTCATTCCCTACTTACACTACAACTCACCCGTTTGCTTTTACTTGGCATGTGGGTGATGAGCAGGGGGTGGGACCAGCTGTGCTGAGCTACGGCCAGGTCTCGTCCTTCCCCATGTGACTGTGCTGGCATGGCCCTGGGTGGCTGCCAGGGCTGTGGTCCTTATCTGAGTGTCTCCGCTGCAGGGACTGCCTCGCTGTGTGCCTCCAAAGTGAAACAGCCAGGAAAATAAATCTGAAGGCGACTGTGAGCAGCTGCAGGGCTGCCCATGGGGCCAGTGGGGCTGTGTCACGAGGGAGCGTTCCTCCAGCATGAGCACCCAGAGCCTGTGCTTGTCTTCAAATGACAAGAGGTGAGAGCTGTGTTATTGTTGTTACAAAGGTACACAGTACATTCTGCAGGAGCAAACTATAAATATTTTCAGCAAATGCACTTACTGTAGGTGTGGGTGCCAAGTAGCACTGTCTCCTTCCTAATTGTTAGGAAAGCATTTTTGTTTTATTGCACAGACAAGTAGATTCCCTGTCCCTTTGCTGTTCTTCTTGCAAGTATGTGTTGAGATGGCACAGTGGGTTTATCACATGCCAAGGAGGAAAACTGCAACAGAGCCGCTGTCTCCTATCAGCCCTGCAGCCTATTTTAGCTCGGCGGCTCTTGTAATGACAAATCACGTTTCCTCTGCTCTTGCGCATGGCCTGAGTGTCCCTACAGCTCAGTTGCCATCCTGGGCACAGCAGCACCCTGACTGATGCCAGCCCAGCTCTGTGCCTGCCCACAGGGTGTGGGTACATCCCAGCGGATGGCAGCCATGCAGCCTTTTGTCTGTCTGTGTGATTTTTTTTTTTTTCCATTCTCCTGTAGCTGTGTCCAGCTGTGGGCTTCTCTGAAACAGCTGAGGGATCTGCTCAGGCTTCTGCATGGAGCAGGGAGAAGTGCCTGGCCTCCTGGTGCTGTGGGGGCAGTGCTTGGAAGTTTCCGCTGCTATGAAAATTGGGCCAGGCCAGGGCCTTCTGAAATAACTGCAAAGAATTACTATAGTTTGATTTTAATTTTTTTAGGCCACTTTTTTTTTTTTTATATTGTTCTTTAACACTTATGCTCCAGCCTTGTTCAGGTGCTTAATGTCTACTGCTTAATTTTTATTTCATGTGTTTAGCTGGAGAATAACCTCAATTTTTGACATGCCACCTGTCAGACTAAAATTTCCTAAACCTCATTATGAAATGATGTTTTGGCTCAGCTGGCCTTTGGTGTGGCTTTCAACAGGGTGATGGAGAAGAGGATGCTCAGGGGAAGCTGTATTTCTCTCTACAATGACCTGAAAGGAGGTTGTAGCAAGGTGGAGGCTGGCCTCTTATTGTGAGTGATGCACTGGCACAGGCTGCCCAGGGAGGTGATGGAGTCACAGTCCCTGGAGGTGTTTAAGGAAAGGGCAGATGTGGCACTGAGTGACTTGATTTAGTGGGCATGAGTGATGGGTTGATGGTTGGACTAAACAGTCTTAGAGGTCTTTCTGACTTTAGTGATTCTATGATGGGCAGCAAGGGCCACGTTCTGGTGAGCACCCAGCTCTGTGCCATCTGTGCAGCCCTGCCAAGTGCCCACCCATGTGCCTCCCCAGCCGTGGGCAGCAGAGGAGCCTGTGGTCACAGTGAGATAGGATGCTGGAATCCAGCATTGTTTCCAGATTTCTTTGTGTTTTGTATTCATGAGACAAATATATAGGTTGGGCTTGTGCCTACATTTGGTTCTGCTGCAAAACTCAGTCCAGAACAAAGTAGTTGTAAGTAGGAGATCTTGCTCTCAAGCGCCTTTGATCTCTGGCAAGGCAAACTGGTACATGGAGCTTTGTACAGCACCATCTATTCATCTGCTCTTCTGTTAATAATAAGCTAATAAGTGGTAAACTAAAATGTGTATTCTAAAAATAGATTTAATACAAGCTTTCTAAAAAAAAAAAAAAAAAAAAAAAAAAAAAAAGTGCTAAAATGATAAAGTAAAAAGATATAAAACCTAGCCTAAAAGCATCCTGCTTCGGTTTTGAAGCCTCTAAGGACTGTAGTCCATGAAGAAGCCCGTGTGAGTAAATTCCTGCGTTTATTTGATGTTTAACTGATGTATTCTCTACCCACCGCATCAAATCTCAGATCTTCCCAGGAAAGTTGAAAGTTTTGAAAACTTTCAAAACCTAGCGGCTCCCGGAGCCATAACGCAGCATGCTTTGGGTAACGCAGGAAAGCCGAGAGCGGGACCGGAGCGACACGGGGGCCGGCAGGTTGCAGCTGAGCGCGTCCGAGCATCCCTCGCCGGCTGCGCGCAGTGAAAGCCGGCACACGCGGGGCAGGGCGAGGGCTGGCCTCGGGCGAACCCCCGCGGCACCGCTCCGCTCTCGCCGGGCACCGCGGGCGCGCTGACCTTTGTCGGCCGCGCTGCCCCCGCCCGGCCGCAGCTGCCGCCGTCCCTCCGGCGCCCAAGGTCAGGGCAGCGCCGTCGCCGCGCAGGTAGGCGCGGAACTCTGCGCGGGGCGGGGGGCGCGGGCAGGGAGAGAGGAAGGGAGGGGAGAAAGGAGGGAGGGAGCGCGGCGGCGTGACGCGGAGGGCCGGCTCCCCGCGGAGGGCCGCGCTCCCGGCGGGCCGGCGCCCGGCGCCCTTATTTAAAGTCGGCCGGGGGGCGGCGGGGCGCTGCGCGGTGCCGCTCGGCGGGTGAGCGAGCCCTCCCCGTGCACCGAGCGGGGGGAGGAAGAGGAAAAGGATAAAAGGGACGGAGAAAAAAAAAAAAAAAAAAAAAAAAAAAAAAAAGGAGGTAGGAGGAACCCTGGCAAGTTGAGTTTGGTACCTCAGCCGGGCTGCGGGGATCGACGGGCGATGGATAAGGATGAGATCCACCTGCACAGGCTGCCTGCCGCCGCGCCGTGGGGACCACGTAAGTGTGCGGCGGGGAGAGGAGAGCGGGACGCGCTGCGCTGCGGGAGCGGTGTTACGGGTGGTGCTGCCCTGCGGGGTGCCGGGCGGTGTTACGGATCCCGGAGTAATCTCTGCAAAGTAGTAGGGAAATAAAACGGCGTTCTTACCCCACCCCCCAGAAGCGTAGAGCAGCATAAAGTCTTCTTTATCTACGTTAATGTAGTAATTAAAAGCTCATCTAGCCTCAGGAAGCCAGGCTAATTATGAAAAATTGCTGGAGTACGAAGTAGATGAGACAAACCCTTGATTCAGTGGCTGCTGTCATTTCACACTGTGCCGCGGCAGGCTAGCAAAAAAGGTCTCACAAAATGAAATGGGTCTGCTCAGCCAGTCGGTAGTGTCCTCACAGCACTGGCTTAATAGTGTGTCTCTGAATCACTAACTAACGTGTGCAGCAAAATAAATTATATATATTGGAAAGGGAAAATACATTCCTTGGCTGAGAAGTTGCAGAATGTTTTGAGCCAAAGAGCCAAGCGCTTAAATGGTAGGGGGTGGGAATTTCCTTGGCTTCGCTGTGGAAATAAATCCTAGCTCGGTGGCTGTGGGTGCACACATGCACTGACACACGCGTTTGTAGAAGATACCATGCATGCACATATACACCACGTGCAGAAAATCCTCATGTGCACGCATTGGGGCACAAATTTCACAAGCACTATTTACTGAACGCATTTTTCTCCTGGTTTAGAGGCTATAAAGCTAGGGCTGAGATGCTAACCAGGAACATGCTGTAACCCCCTTGGTTATCCTGCAGAATTGTATATAAATGCAGCAAATTTAGTGTGGCACCATTTGTGAATTCCATACTTCACAATCAAAATTCCAAATCTTACTGTTTGCAGCTAAAAATAGCGTGGGGAGCCCTTTTCTTTACTCCTTCTTTCTGGATTCCCACGAAAACCGTTATCCTGGAGTCTCCTTACTACATGGCCAAACATTCAACTGGAGCTCAGCCCAGTTCTGAAATGCTCCGTACGCCATGGGCTGGTGGAGCAACCAGGAGGAGAAGGGAACAGGTTCTGAGTCTGTGATACGGCGCAGCGGGGCTGTGCAGCTCAGCACTGGGGAACAAGGTTGCTGAATTCTGCCTGCCCCATGTTCTGAGTTGAATGGAGGAGGTGGAAGTCCTCCGTGCTGTGTGTTGTGGAATGGAGGCTGAGGTGTTCTCAGGGATGGCTGTAGGAGGGCAAGGGGCAAAACTGGCACTGCGAAGCTCTGGCTTTGTGCAAGTGGCCATTTATCCTGAGGTAATGGCAGCGGTAGGGCGAGTCCTAGGAAGTTCAAGTGGCACTTTATCTGTGAGGAACTCAGCATAATGATTTGCGGTGGCATTCTCTATTTAATTTCTTAATCACCCATCAGCAGCACAAATACTGTGCACCAGCTTTGTTAGTGAGTTCAAGGAGCAGCTTTGCTCCTGGAAGCACACGCATGTTCCTGTTGGTATCGTATCCCAAAGAGTATGTTTGTGAAGCTGTTTATGAGATGAAGCTCCTGATGGATCCATGCGCTGCAGTGCAATGCTAGCCCTGGTCAGTCCTCGATCATGTTCTGCACTTGTTGCTGGAGGAGGATCAGGTGGAGATTTGTATTGCACCAGGTCTTTGTCCCTACAAAGCCTTGCTGCAGGCAGCCGGGGTGGGACAGAGAAGGAAAAGCTGGTATCAGAGGGAGGGTGGCAGGAAAAAAAAAAAAAAAAGTGAAGGAGAGGTGTATTGCCATGCAGCTGGAGTTACCTAAAGATTATTTCATGTTTTTCTAGGAATGAGCTGGATGGTGACCTTGGTATGTTGTCTTTGGTTCTGTAGGTAGCAGGAGAGGTTGGGGGTCCTCGGCCCCTGCCCTGCCCACAGCCCCAAGCACAGAAGGTGGTGGCTCCTGACTTGCTGCCTGCTCCTTCCTTGCGCTCTGGGCAACCAGGATGTGTGAAGAAAGGGCTGGGGCAGGACTGGCTGAAAAGGCAGTGTTGTGTTGGTTGGAGAAAGACCTAGAGTAGATCATCTTGCCAGTGTAAGGCATGGGGGCACTGGGACAAGTGCTTGGGGCGCAGCTTGGCACAGTCGTGCCATCATCCCCTGCATATCAACAGTTAAAAAGCCCCTGAAAGAACAGCTGGATCCCTTTGAAAACGATGAGAGTTCTTAGGTGATGAGGCTGTTGTACGCGAAAGTGAGGTGTTTCCCCCTCTTTTCTCAGGATTACTTCACTCATGCCTGAGCAGGGTCCCCCAGCACAGCTCCATCGACTCCTCTGTAGCACCCATCTCCCTGTGGTAGTGCTGCAATAATTCTATTAACAGCAAAAATGATGAAGCATATTAAGCTAATAATTAATCAGAGATGACAAGGGACTAATAACCATATTGATTTAATTAGGACTTCTTTTCCAGCTCTGTAACTTGCGCTCACGTACATCATTAATGTAATATTTTAATTTGTACTAATAACTTATTAATTTCTGCGGCTGGGCCACAGAGATGTAGAGGGGATGGGGAATGAGGAGGCAGAGTGAGCAGGCAGGAGGGCGGCCCTGGGAAGGGGCGGTATTGGCATCCACAAGGCAAAAACAGCCCTTTTGACGTTAATTACACCCTTTGGCTTCTGGTGATTTTGAAAAAAGGAAATGCTTAGGGACATGCTGTGGCTGGAAAATACAGCTGGTTTTAAATTAGGATCAGTTTGTGGGCAGGGAAGAGCAGAGGGGACTGTGGCGGACAGGATAGGCTTCAGAGCATTACTGTGCAAAAGGTTGAGGAGCACGGAGCTCGCTCATTTTTCCCCCTGCTTCATTCCACACAGTTGTTCAGTCACTGTATGGGTCAGCCCTCAGCTTGGTAAGTTCCACAGGCAGCTGTACCAATGACCAGTTTTTAGGAATGCCCAGTGGGAACCCATTGCACCACCACATTCTGCGATGCTAAGCCACCCCATGCCGGCTGCTGGGCTGGTGTCACATCACAGGGTGATGTCAGCAGCAACGTGCAGCTTATTTCCAGCGCTTTGAAGAGCGACAAGGCGGTGATGCCTCGGTTGTCACACAAGGTAATTTATGGCACGCGCAGGCCTTTCAGAAGCCGCCCGTCCTGCTCCCAGGCGCAGGAAGCAGAGCAGCTTCAGCTGCATTAGTCACAGCCTCTGCCCCAGGCCTGCCTCTGTGCACCCACGGGAAGAAGAGATGTGTTTATTTGGCTTAGCCTTCAGTTTCCTACCCCAGTGCCTCTGAGAGTGGTGCTGCAGCCCAGCAGGAGAGGCTGGCCCTTCCATGTGCTCCCTCGCCTTCTTTCAGCCACTGTCCTGGGACAGCTGGGCTGTATCCCCGCTCTTCACACACTCCATGTCACACTCTGCCATACTGGCTTGTCCCCAGGGCTCTCAGCCTCACTGTCTCCCCAGGTTCTGCTGCTTTCCCTTTTCTTCCAGTTCCCATCTCTGAGCCTTTCCCTGGCAGTCTGTGCTTCCAGCTGCTATGGAAGCTATTTCCAGATCTGACCTGATGGAAGGATGGAGATCCCGTGCCATCTCCTTGCAGTATCTTTGCCCATTGCCGTATCTGCATACCTGATTTGTTCTTGGCAGCTCTGAGTCAATGCGAGAGCTTGCTTGTGTGTTCTTACTCCTCTGAGTGGAATATTAATAATATACATAATCATCAAAATTGTCCTCTCTGACTGCACTCCAAAAAATGCAATTCTTTTCTTTTGTAAACTGACACGAGTCAATGACTTTTTATGCACAACTGTAAGTGCTCTGAGGGAGTTTTAAAATCTGAAACCTGTTGTGGAAAGGTTAAGTAGTGTGCAGATGTTAACTGTTTCTTTTAATTTTTATAAATTACTTTTTTTTATATCCTGGCTTCAGCGGTTGCAAGTTCTGTGCTGCTGGTCCTGATGCCTTACCTCTCCCACTGTTTGTATCCTATGCAGAGGGAGCATACACTATGAGGAGGAAACGCTTTGTTTTCTAAACACATTGCAAATATTTGTTGCCTCATGTACTTACTTATTGATATCAGCTCATGCACCACTTGCAGAACAAACTTGGAATATGTGATAGGCATCTGTGTGTGATAAGAAAGGTTCTCCAAGGAAAACTGCCCACAGAGAGAAAAACACATTTTACAGCACTCAGTAAAAAAGGGAAAAGGCTGGCAACTGAAAGTGCAGACTGAGGGTGCACTTTGAAAAAGTATATACAGAAATTGAGCAGTTACTGGCTTCAGCAATATTGTGAAGGCACAAGTAATGAATGCTGAGTCTTCTGGAGTCACCTTAAAGCTTTTTTAGCATGATACAGTGGCAGTCCTATAATTCTTCTTGAGAAGAATAAGACCTCTGATGTGGAGGTTTTGGGGTGAAGCTTCTCTCTACATGTTGGGTTTTTGCTCCTTTGGTATAAGAAGAGTGGCAGAAGTGGATCTTGTGCTGTTATTTATGTCCGCTCATTTGTACTATAGCATCTTGGCTGGCAATGTACTGCAGGATATGTCAATGAGTGTGCTTTGCAATTCTTCCCGGATTTTGGCAGGCATAGATTCAAAATATGGCATGACTTTATGCTTCTGGTATGATTGCCCAGAAAAAAAATCTACTGCAGACTGCAAAAGATGGAAGCTTTTATGCAAATGCCATTAAATTCATCACTGTGTGTTGTGGCACTATTGTCTTGAAAAGGCTTTCTACTGATGTATGCATGCTATTTTGGCAATAGGATGGGAAGAAGGGTTGTGTGGGCGTACTGCATTTGCTGCTCGGTTTTGGGGAATTGAGCATCCAGCTCCACAATACATCACGCGTTTGGTTTTGCTTGATGTTGACATGGCCTGCATCTGGAGGAGCTGACCTAGGCATCAAGATCTTCTCCCCTGTATTTAGTTTTGGATGCTGTTAGTAGATGGCATGGGTGTAGCAGATTGGGATGTGCTGGTAGTAACACGGTGTATCCAAAAGGAGGAATTGAC